CCAACAAAGGAGCCACCACGCGCCCATGAGCCCCGGGAGCAGCAGCGGCGGTGGGGGGCAGCCGCTCGCCCGGACCCCTCAGGTACACAGCTGGGCCGGGAGGGGGCTGGGGCGAGTGGGTCCGGGGGGGGGATTGGGTGGGCGGCCGCGGGGAACAGGCCACAAGCCGTGGGGTCCCCTCGGGCCCGGGCCCCCACTGCTGGGGAGCTGCCATTGTCTGGCTCTTCTCTCTTAAAATGGCTGCCTGTCTGCCTTCCTCTCCTTCCCTCGTTTCAGCCTTTGTGTGGGGCTTTTCCAGAGGTGTGTGCTCTGCTTCTCCCCCCTCCCTGGGTCCCTTCGGAGGCCTGGGGCCTTCAGGGGGGTGCGAGGTAAAGTGGGTCCGGAAGGGCCCGGTCGATCAAGAGGGTGTTGGGGGTTCAGATTGGGGTGGTAGGCAGTGCTGGGAGGCCGGGAGTTGAACGGACGTTTCTTTGCTCGCTTGGCGTTTCTCTGTTCCCCCTGCCGCCTTCTAGGCTGTCCCCCCATGTGTGCTCGCAAAGAGGGGCCCCTGAGGCTCGGGGGGACTTTGAGGGAGGGTAGGGACCTGCTTGGGGGCAGCTAGAGGCCGGCTGGGGTTCACCCAGGGCAGCCCCGGCCATCTCCTGTCTTAGTCTCGGCCGGCCCAGTGGCCTGGGCTCTCTCTGGAAGTGCTGGTAAACAGCTGAGTGATTGGAGTAGTAAGTGCAGATTGCTTTGGTTTGGGATTTGAATTATGGAGGTAAAATCCTTCTGTCAAAGCCAGGAGACAGTTGGTCTTAGGTTGACATCCTATCTGTGATCTGATTGGCTCCCCATCTCCTGCTCTTGGCCATTTATAATTGCCTCTGATGTAATGGTACAACAATCCTGATGAGCTCATAAACTTTTACACTCTGCTTTTCTGCCAGTGATAACCCAAACCATTGCTGCCACTATCTGCCTTTTATTTCAGAGCTGAAATTGGCTGTGACCTTGAGGAGGGAGGTTTAAGCAGCAATACTGTATCAGCAGGAGCAGAGCCCCAGACAGGCTGCCCTTGTTATATTGTGCCCGAAACAAAAGAGGAGGCAGTGGCATTTTGCTTGTACCTTGGATTTATTTTGCTTGTTATGTTTTATGCAGCCTGAAATAGATTCTGTGTTGTTGGAACAGTAGCTGAGTTTTTCTCTACAATGGGTTTGCTGTTTGTTTTGGTTTTGTGACTTTCCTGATGGTATAAATGACTTCTTTGATGGCTCTGAAGACACATTTGTCTTGAGTAATTTTGACACTGTTCACTTTGCAGAACTGAAATTATTTTACTGACTTTTTAAATTGAGTGGCAAATGTGAGATCTGTATAGGGGAAGAATACATTTCTGTTAATATTTTTGTTTAGAACTGAGAGCTTTCTGACAATTTCATATTAGGTTCAAGGGTTCTTTTAAGCAAAGGTGGCCTCATTCTTTGTTTACATGTAGAATCTTGTTAACACTTTCTTTTGTTAAGTGAACTTTGGGAGAGCAGCTCAATTTAAAAGGAAGCTGATGTCTTTCTTGATCTTCAGAGAGGAATTTTGGCTTCTCTCTTAAGGGCTTGATTTGGTGGAATTTATTATTGGTTCCTGGAATGCAAAAAAAAATCTAGTTTTGTCATCAATCCTTTTAAAACCAGCAAATAGAGATTGGCTAATTTTTTTCTCCTCTGTATATTTTTTCTTTTCCTTTTTTCTCCCCCGAGGTAAAAAAAGACATGACCTACAATGATAATGTAGGCTTGCAACTTTTAGATACCTACCCTACCTTCTTCATCAATGCTTTGGTCTGGAATATTGTTGGTATTCCATGGAGTCATGGATCTTTTCAAAGTGGGGACAGAAAGCTCCTGTGGGTCACCACTCCCAGCAGTTGTGCCTCTGCACTGAGATTTTATTCACTTATAACAAAATAATTAATTAGCTGTATTCTTTCCCAATCCCATAATTACATTTCTACTCTAATCTCTACTGAGCTGGGAATTTTGAAAATAACTGCTAGTGGGCATAAAGCTCTGAGCCCTTGACACTGCATCCAACCTGGATGAAAAATAGGGGAATGTTATTTATTTACTTATTTTTGCTGCTTATAGGATTTTAGGCTAGCGGACTGGAGATCTATGATCAATCTATAATATGTACCTGTTTTGCCTCATCTCCTGTTTTGTTTTGGCCAAAAAATTTTCCTTTTTTTTTCTTTTCGTGTGTGTGTGTGTGTGTGTGTGTGTGTGTGTCCACATGGTGGGAGGGAGTGCTGTTAAACTGAAGGACTAGGCGCTGTTCCATAGCTGTTTTTCATACCAAGCTGGTGCTGTACCATTTGAGCCACAGCTCCACTTCTTGAGTTTTAATGGTTAATTGGAGATGAGTGTCTTCATGGACTCTCTTCAAACTGTGATCCTTAGAGCTCAGCCTCTTGAGTATCTAAGATGATAAGGCTGTGTCACCAGCCTCTGGCAAAAATTTACCTTTCCTAAAACTTATTAAAGGAAATGATTTGGGGTATGTCAAGGCCCAATTAAAATATTTGAAGTTTATCAGTATGGGTATATTTAGACAAAGGTTTTTGTGTGTGTGGTTTTTAAAATTGTGCCAATCCTGGGGCTTGAATTCAGAGCCTGAACATTGTCCTGAGCTTCTTTTGCTCAAGGCTAGCCACAGCTCCACTTTGTGTTTTTATTTTTTATTTTTGTAGTTTTAGTGGCTTTCCTTCTCCGGCTAGCTTCAAACTGTGATCCTCAGATCTCAGCCTCCTGAGTAGGATTACAGGAATGAGCCACCAGTGCCTGGCTAGAGAAAGAGAAAGGACACACACACACACACACACACACACACACACACACACACACACACACACACACACACACACACACACACACACACACACACACACACGACCAGTGCCTGACTAGAGAAAGGTTTTATATATACATACACATACCTTTCCTTGTGGAAGAGATAATATTTTAGCTTTGTGAATTTCTTCAGTTGTGTGACAGTAGTCTAGGAAAAGGTTGTGGGGGACAGACTTGTTCTGAGATCCTCTACCTGTCAGATTATGTGATGTCCTACTGTGAAGTATTTTTAAGTAAAAACTGGTTCCCTTCTTTCTCTAACCCAGTCTTAGATGAATATTTTTCAGATACATGTTCCAGACACATGATTATCATAGTCCAGGTGATAATTGTTATTTGGTCTTTATGAAATAAAGATTAAGTGTGTTTTTTGGGAACAAGGATGATCTGAGCAGACAAACTTAACCCTTTCCTAAGTACATTATTGGTATCTTGTGAATTGATCTTTCAGACTTTTTTAGGTTCCTTTCTTTGTGAGATATAAAGTACCCATGACAAGCAGTACCTATTATTACAGGTGTGAATTCTGGTACTGATGAAATCCTTTTGGTCACTTGAACTTCTTACTTTTGATATTTTGAGCAATTACACCTGGAAGAGTACTATTAGTTGATGATGGTAAAAAATGAAATGTAATAAATAGTTTGGAATTGAGTTGGGTTTGATTGTAGAAGCTTGGCTGTTAGTTTCTGCTATGGAAATATCAAATGATGTTCCCAGTCCCTGGGAAACGTATACAGGAATCCTGGATTTATTATGGGAATGCCTACTGGCACAAATTCTGAGCTGGCTGAAATACAGGGCTCTTGGATCTCTCTCAAGTAGGAGGGACCAGAAAAACTTCACTCTAGTAACACTTTTAATTTTGGGGGCTTCATATTTCTCCTATGAACTGAAGTGATACGAGTGGGGATGGTGGTGTGAGAAGAAAGAATGCAGCCAGGTTAGTTTCTTGTGAATTGTTCTTTCAGGACTTTTTAAAGTTCCTTCAATTGTATGTGATACAAACTAACCATGACAAGCAGCCCCTATTGTCATAGGATGTCTTAGATTATATTGTATTAAGCATTCATGTGTTGGATTGACTCCTGAGTAGGATGTGACGTATACTACAGTAAGCCTTACACAAAATTAGTGTGATATTTATTTTATTTTTACCATTATTACTATTATTATTATTATTTATTATTACTGTTATTGCCAGTCTTGGGGCTTGAATTCAGGGCCAGAGTCCTGTCCCTGAGCCTTTTTGCTCAAGGCTAGTTTGTGCTCTACTACTTGAGCCATAGCTACATCTGCTGTTTTTTTTTTTTGCTTCATGGGAGGAAAGAGTCTCCTGGACTTTCCTGCCCAGGCTGTTTTTGAACTACAATCCTCAGATCTCAACCTCCTGAGTAGCTAGGATTATAGGTGTGAGCCCAACTTTTGTAAGCTTTTTAAAAATGTGGGAATAGGGACTGGGAAGGTGGCTCAGTGGTAGAGCGCTTGCCTTGCAATGCATGAGGCCCTGGGTTCGATTCCTCAGCACCACATAAGCAAAAAGAAAAAAGCCGGAAGTGGTGCTGTGGCTCAAGTGGTAGGGCACTAGCCTTAAGCTGAAGAGCTGAGGGATAGTGCCCAGGCCCAGAGTTCAGGCCCCACAACCGGACCCCCAAAAAAAAAACAACAAAAAAAAATAAGTTTTATTGATTGGCTTCAAATCTCAAAATTGTAGAAGAAATGGAAGCCTACAGATATGGTTAAAATATGATAATGAAAATAAATTGTCATTTGAGTAGTTCTTTCCTGACAATGAACTGTGATACCTGAGGCTCTGAAGCAGTCTGGATTCCCTTTGTTGCTTTTTTAAATGTTTTTTATTTTCCTGAACTCTGGGCCTGGGCGCTGTCCCTCAGCTCTTCAGCTCAAGGCTAGCACTCTACCACTTGAGCCACAGCATCACTTCCGGCTTTTTTCTTTTTGCTTATGTGGTGCTGAGGAATCGAGCTCAGGGCCTCAGGCAGGCAAGGCAAGCGTTCTACCACTGAGCCACCTTCCCAGCCCCCTCCCCTTGTTGCTTTTATCACTGTCTTTTTCCTTGTTTAGATTGGTCATTATCATTATTGATGCATACTAAGTTGTTACATGTTGCTTAGTGGTGAAAGAAGATAGTTTCAGAAGAAAAGAAGGAGGGTAGCAGTTTAATTTCCATTTACAG